ACAGTAGGGTGAGGGCAGTGCAGTGAAAGAGGCGCTGTGCTTACCGGACGGGGTAGCTCGGGCGGCTCGGCAGTAGGGCGGCTCGGCGGCTCCGCTACTGGGCGGCTGGGCGGCTCGGCTGTAGTGCGGCTCGGCGGCTTGGCTGTACGGCGGCTCGGTTGTTGGGCGGCTCGGCTGCAGGGCGGCTCGGCTGCTCGGCTGCTAGGCGGCTCGGCGGCTCGGCTGTCCGGCTGCTCGGTTGCCCGGGCGGCTCGGCGGTGCTGCTGCAGGGCGGCGCGGCGGTCGGCTGCTCGGCTGGGTGAGGCGGCTTGGGCAGCTTGGGTGGCGGGCGGCGCTGCAGCAGGGGACGGGGCCGCACGTCAGGACGGGTGGGCCGGAAGTGAAAGCGGTGGGGCCGCAGGTGAGAGTGGCGGGGCCGCCGGTGAGAGTGGCGGGGCCGCAGGAGAGAGCGGCGGGGCCGCAGGTGAGAGCGGCGGGGCCACAGGGAAGGGCGACGGGGCCGCAGTTGAGGGCGGCGGGGCCGCAGTTGAGGGCGGCGGGGCCGCAAGTAAGGGCGGCTGGGCCGCAGGTAAGGGCGACGGGCCGCAGGAAGGGCGGCGGGCCGCAGGTGAGGGCGGCGGGGCCGTTTATAGGGACGGCGGGGCCGTGAGAAGGGCGGCAACGGGCCGCTGCAAGGGAGGCGACGGGCCGCTGCAAGGGCGGCGACGGGGCCGCTGGTGAAAGGGCGGCGGATCGGGGCCGCAAGGGCGGCTGATCGGGGCCGCGAGAGGCCGCTAGGGTGGCGTGACGCGGCCGTAAGGGCGGCGCGACGCGACCGTAAGGGCGGCGCGACGGGCCGCTAAGGGCGACGCGACGGGCCGCTAAGGTGACGCGACGTGGCCGCTAAGAAGGGTGCGACCCTAGGCGCGCTTCGGGCAGGGGCAGGACGCGCCCCGGGCAGGAAAAAAAAGAATCGGTGGGCCCTAGGAACAGTTCCCACGAGGGAACCTGCTCGATACCATGAGAAAGTGTGAATGAGAATGAATGAACTATGAATGAAGTGGGTACAAGTACTAACCCTAATTGGGTTGTATCCCCTATAGGATACCCCACTACAGCCTACACAAAAGCATAAGCTATAATGTTCTGACATGTTGGTCCCAGGGATGGTTCCAGGGACGAAGGTGGGTTCGCGTGGCTCAGGGGCAGGTCCGTAGACGGTGCGATGTGGGGTTGACGGCTCGTTGCCCCAGATGATGGTGTCCCATGGATCGCGACGCGGGGGGTTGTCAGGAGGAGGTGGTGTGAGTGGAATGTGACGCGGGGGACGACCAAGAGGAACGACTGCAGGTGTTGCCTCAGTTTCCTCAGCTTCATCCTCCCCCCCCCTTTTGTTCTTCGCGGAAGGTACCACAGCCGCTATTCTTGGCGCTAGTTGCGGCGCCCCATCCGCCGCTCGCGTTGGCCCAGGTTCCGCCGTTGTCTCCCCAGCCACTAGTGTCACTTGTTCCCCATCCTCCAGCGCTCCCCCACCCCCCTTCATTGGAGGCAATTTCTTCAGCCTCAGCTCCCCAGGTGGCGCAAGCGAAGGTCCCACGTGCTTCTGCGAGGCTTTGCTGGCGAAGCTCCTCAGCTTCGCGGCGCGCCAATTCTTCCTCTTGCTCCATGGTGAGTTTCTTCGACAAGTCGCGTCGATGAGAGTAGATGGCCAGAGACTTCTCGTAGGTGTAGGGTCGCGGCTCGCCATGGGCATCAAAGGTGCCGACGCCAGTTCCGCGCAGCATGCCTTGAAGGTGCTGTGAGGGGGGACCGATGAGGGGATGCTCTGGCGTGCCGAAAATGCCGTGGGTAGTAACTTCAAGCTCAAGCTGTGACATCCCTTCCTCTGGGGGTGCGTGGCGCTCTGCTTCAGCGATGGCGGCGAGTCCGCGGCCGGCAATCGCGCTTGTTGATGTCGTCGGCGTGGAACAATCCCTGCAGATGCCATCTGGATTGGGGTTGTGTAGCGCTGTTTCGCGTGGGTGGGGATGATGCGGCACCCACGGTCTGCCGTCAGGATGCTTCCAATCCCTGCGGTGGATGTGCTTGAAGCGCAGTGGCACGAGATCAATCAGCTCGTGCGAGTCGCCGCTGCAGTCGGGAATGTCGAAATCTAGGACATACACTCCATTTTCGGAGTACGCTCGTTCGATCTGCCTGCGGGGAAAATTGCGTGATTCGTAGTGCAGCAGGATGTCTAGCGTCGCGTGATCCGTGCTAAGGTCGACGCCGCAGTCCATGAGCTGTGCGGCGGACAGGATGTTGAAGCGTAGGTTCTAGACGATCAGCACATCATTAAGCGTGATGTGCGTGCGGCTTCCACGTGCTTTGAGCACAACAATGCCTTGTGCGCTTGCGCGCAGGCGCGTGTTGTTCGCCACAGTGACGTAAGTGACTGTAGGGGTGGGGACGACGTTGGATATGTAACGCTCGGAGCCCACCATATGCTGGCCGCAGCAGCTGTCCAGGTACCAGGTGTTGTAGCGCTTGTTGTCGTCACGTGCGAGCAGCGCCAATCGCGGTGTGACGATGTGCGGGGTGTCAAACTTTAGAAATTGCTCGTGCGAGAGCCAATCAAGTGGCGTCACCCGCATGTCTGGTATGTGTGGGGGACTTTGAAGTAGCGGGACTGGGAGGTTCCAGTCCTGATCGTCGTCGTCGTTGAAGTCGCGGCGCGGGCTGAACGGGTTGTCGTTGGTGAACGCGCCGATGGGGTGCGGTGCTGGCTCAGGTGAGGGTGAGCGAACACGGCGACGACGTGACTCGCCTCTCATGGCCATGTTGCTCATGACGTTGCGCGTAGGGGCAGTTGATGGCTGCTGCTGCTGATACTGAACTGTTGAGTTCAGATTGCGCGCGGGTGGGGGTTGATACCCTTGGGCTGGACGCACGTCGCCTCGTGCGTCTTGTCGGCCGGACCGGTTGCTCGGATTGGTCTGGCGAGGGCGAGATTGGAACTTACATCGATCCGCCAAATGCCTAAAGTTTCTGCAGATTTTGCAGTAGAGGCGCCGCGGTCGTCGCTCTTCATTGTTGTCGGCGTAGAAGGCGAGCCGTTCGCGTTCTCGTCGTGGCGCTGGTCGCTGCTGATCCATATCCCGTTGTTCGACGATAAGGGCGGCGCAAAGGGCGGCCTCCGAGATGACCCCCTTCTGTCGGAGGAGCGCCTTGAAGGGCCGCCACTCTAGGCCAAGCCCTTGAAGCACAATGTTCACGAAGATTTCCTCGGAAATCGAGCTTCCCAACTTCACGATTTGATCGCGAAGGCTCCGACAGCGGTTGATTTAGCTGTTGACCTTCTCCCCTGAGGTCATCTTAGTTTCCAGCAGTTGCTGGAGTAGTCGGCTCGAGGAGACGTGTCTGACTTATATGACTTAGCCTATGAAGGCTATAGTGGGGTATCACATATGGGGTACAACACATTTCTAGGGTTTGTACTTGTACCCAACTTTCCCTTAGTCATTCCCATTCCTCGTTTCTTATCATGGTATCAAGCAGGTTCCCTAGTGGGAACGCTTCCTAGGGCCCACCACGATAATTTTTTTCCTGCCCGGAGCGCGCTTCGCTCCTGCCCGAGTCGCGCTCCGTGTGCCCTCCCTACCTTCGCGTCGCCTTTAGCGGCCCCTCTCACGGCCCCTTACGCCGCCCTTACGGCCCCTCGCGCTGCCCTTTACGGCCCCTCGCGCCGCCCTCTACAGCCTCTCGCGCCGCCCTTACGGCCCCTTGCAACGCCCGTTGGCCCCCTCGCACTGCCCTTACGGCCCCTTACGGCCCCTCGCGCTGCCCTTACGGCCCCTCACGGCCCCTCGCACAGCCCGTCAGCCCCTTGCGCCGCCCTTAGCGGCCCCTTACGGCCCCGTCGCCGCCCCGTCTAGGCCCCTTGCGGCCCCTCTGCAGCCCCATCTAGGCCCCGTGCGGCCCCTCTGCGGCCCCGTCTAGGCCCCTTGCGGCCCCTCTGCGGCCCCGTCTAGGCCCCTTGCGGCCCCTCTGCGGCCCCGTCTAGGCCCCTTGCGACCCCTCTACGGCCCCGTCTAGGCCCCGTGCGGCCCCTCTACGGCCCCGTCTAGGCCCCTTGCGGCCCCTCTACGGCCCCGTCACCACCACCTGCGGCCCCGCCGCCGCCACCTGCGGCCCCGTCACCGCCACCTGCGGCCCCGTCACCGTCACCTGCGGCCCCGTCGCCCTCCCCTAGCAGCCACGTCGCCGCCTCTACCGGCCCCGTCACCGCTCAGCCGCCTAGCGACCGAGCCGCCAAGCAGCCCATCAGCTGAGCCGCCCACCAGCCGAGCCGCCGAGCCGCCCAGCACCCGAGCCGCCCAGCAGCCGAGCCGCCCAGCAGCCGAGCCGCCCAGCAGCCGAGCCGTCGTGCAGCCGAGCCGCCGAGCTGCCGAGCCGCCCAGCGGCCGAGCCGCCGAGCAACCGAGCTGCCGAGCCGCCGAACCGCCTCGCAGCCGAGCCGCCCAGCAGCCGAAGCGCCCTACTATCGAGCTGCTGCTGTTCCTACCGGTGCGCCCCTGCCCTACTTACTCACAGTGGGCCACACGTGATGCTGCTGCTCGCCTTGCTGTGCGTCGCCACTTACCAACCGCTGAGCGTGCGCACTTTAGCCAGAACAAGAGTGCCAAGACCTAGTATGACGGTGTAGTTGCATGCTACTCCTCCCCTGCCACTACTGCTCTTAGCCGCCTCATGCTGCCGTACCTCTTCCCTGACCTTGCTGCCTTTCCCACAGTCGCTGACCTTATTACTCACCTTCCCACTAGTGATATTCGCTACCGCGCTGCGCTTCCTGCTGAGTTTTGTGCCAAGAACCCCCCCGCCCATGTACATCACCCTCTACTACATAGTCACCCGCCTCCCTGACTCCCTTCGCTTAGTCAGGGACCACTTCATCTAAGTTTGCCCCACCACACTCACCGTCGACCTCCTCGAGGAGCGGCTCCTAGCAGCATAGAAGAGCATAGTCGCTGTAGGAGCCTCTCATGGTGACCCTCGAACCCCCGTCTTTGAGGGGTGTTCCCCCTCCCCCCTCTTGCCCTCTATTGCTTCTGGTGCTGCGGCCGACCTCGTTGGATTCGAGTCGGTCGGCGCTGCGTCAGCCCCGAGCGGGAGACGCCGCACCGTCAAGGGCAAGGGGGGCAAGGGCGCTGGAGGGGCTGGCGGGGGTGGTGGAGGTGGTGGTGGAGGCACTAAAGGGGGTGGGGGTGGTGGTGGGAGTGGTGGCGAGGGTGGAGGTGTCGGTGGTAGTAGTGGAGGCGGAGGAGGCGGCGGCGGTGGCGGAGGGAGCGGAGGCGATGGAGGCGGTGGAGGCGGTGGAGGTGGCGGAGGCAGCGGAGGTGGCGGAGGCGGCAGCGGCAGCAGTGGACCTGGTCGCGGATCTGCGCAGAGGAGTGGCTCCGGTGGTGGTCCGCGCCAGCAGCAGCGCCGCAGTCGTGAGACCCTGTCCCCTCAGCAGCTTCGTGAGTGGTACGCTGCGCGTCAGCGCGGTGGGGGTACTGGTCCGTGCACCTACGTTCTCCGTACCGGCGACCATGCTGGTGAGCAGTGCGGGGGCTCGCACTCCACCCAGCGATGTTTCGGCCACCTGACGGGCGCGTGGCGTCACCACTTCCCTGAGGCCTCTGAGATCCCTCGCTGGGGAGAGCTGTCTAGGGCGGGGGTTGCTATCTTTGATCTTGATTTTGATGCTATTCTTGCTGTCATGTATGCTGTGTCTGATAGTATTGAGGGTGACTGTTACCTGTGTGATCCGCCTGACCCGGGCATTGAGACTGCTGCTCTAGGTACTGGTGAGGCTGCTGCTCTAGGTGCTAGTGCGACTGCTGCACCAGGTGCTGGTGAGTCTGCTCTCTTAGGTACTACGTCGGCTCAGGCCTTACACACCTTCACCCTTGACTCGGGTGCTTCCCGCTCCTTCTTTCGAGACCGGACCACACTTACGCCGCTTAGTCGGCCGGTTGCACTCTCCCTGGCGGACCCCTCTAAGGGTCTTGTCCTTGCTCGCTTCTCCAATGTCTTACCGTGTCCAGCAACCCCCTCTGCCACCCTGTCAGGTGTCTACCTCCCCTCGTTCTCTACGAACTTGGTGAGTGGAGCTGATCTTCAGGATAGGGGGGTTCACCAGTTCACTCCTGCAAGTCAGCGGGTGACCCACTGCACGTGTGCTCGGACAGGCCGACACTTGGCCACTACGTCTGCACTCTGACAGAGGTGGGGAGTTTTCCTCTGCCCGTGTGGGAGCCTTCTGTCGAGCACAGAGCATCCGCCAGAACTTCACGCTTTCGGCCTCTCCACAGCAAAATGGGATAGCTGAGGGCCGCATTGGCATGGTCATGGACGTCGCTCGTACGTCCATGATCCATGGGGTTGCCCCCCATTTTCTGTGGCCGTTTGCGGTTCAGTACGCACCGCATCAGCTCAACCTTCAGAGACCTCCCCCAGCTTGCGGTGGACGGGGAAGGTTGGCGATGCGTCTGCGTTTCGGGTCTCGGGATCTCGGGCGTTTGTCCGCGACTTGTCTGCGGACAAGCTGTCCCCCCGTGCTGTTCCCTGCATCTTCCTTGGCTTCCCTCCTGAGGCGCCTGGTTGGCAGTTTTACCACCCCACCTCGCGCCGTGTTCTCTCCTCCCAGGACGTCACCTTTGACAAGTCGATGCCTTGCTACCGTCTCTTCCCCTACCGCGCTGCGCCCCTTCCCCCACTGCCGCTCTTCCTTGTGCCAGGTGTGTCCCAGGTAGACGCAGTCGAGCCTGTCGAGGTAGCTGTTGACTATGAAACTGCTAGAGGTGCAGAGCCTACGGGTGCCGGGTCTGGAGGTGCTGAGTCTGGGCGTGCTGAGCCTGGGGGTGCTGAGTCTGGAGGTGTTGAGCCTGGGGGTGCTGAGTCAAGGGGTGCGGAGCCTGGGGGTTCGGCGCCTGGGGGTGCGGAGCCCGGGGGCGCTGGGTCTACTCGTGTGGCCGCCGGCGGTGCTTCGTCGAGGCGGGAGCCAATCTCTCCACAAGAGTTGCGCGAGTGGTTTGCCCGATGCTGGAGCCGTATTGCTGGAGCTGGAGATACTACTGTTGCTGCTGGTCCCAGAGGTGCTCGTACTGGCGGTACAGGAGCTGCTGGGACTGAGGGTGTTGCTAAGGCTGCTAAACTTGGTCCTGCTGGAGCTGCTGGCGGTACTGGAGCTGCCGGTCCTGCTGGACTTGGTGCTGCTGGAGCTGCTGGGGGTGTTAGCGCTGGTGTTTCTGCTGGCGCTGGTGCGTCTGAGGGTGCTGGAGTTGGCGCTGTTGGAGCTGGAGGTGCTGCTGGCGCTTGTGCTGCCGGTGGGGGTACTGGTGCTATCCCTGCTGGTTTCGGAGGCGCTGCGCGGCCACAGCCGTACTTCGCTCCGCTCCTTGAGCAGGTTCTTGGTCTCCTGCCCTCCACTGGTCCTGCTCCTCCCTTAGAGTGTCCCTAGCCTGTCCAGTCGCAGTCACAGTTACAGCCCGCCTTTCCCCTACCTGCTCCTTCTCCCTACACTAGTCCTACTAGAGGTCTTGCTGAGCGTCGTGAGCCTGTGTCTCGTCCTGCGTCGCCTGTTCGTGCTGCTCGCACTAGTGGTCGTGCTCCGCGTCCGCGTCCTCCTGCGGTCCCAGGCACCCACCAGATGGCATTGCATCCTTCCACTGCTCCTCTGCGTGTCCCATTGCCGTCTCCTCTAGAGTCCTCTCTTCCTGTCCTTGCCGACCCTGAGTCTGACTCTCTTCGTGTTGCCAGTCCTACTGTCACACGTCTCCTGGCCACTGCTGTCACTGACCCTTCTTTTGAGTCCACTGCTGCGTCTGCCTTGGTGGCTGAGCTTGTCGACTTCGCTGCTCGCTGTCGTCTATACTACGCCACTAGTCTTATTGCTGAGTCTGAGTCTGTTTGTCCTCCGTCCGTCGGGGGTGAGTGTGCTCTTAGCACGGACGTCCTTGAGGACAGGCAGGAGGAGTTCCAGTGTTTTGCTGCTGCTTTGCCTCATCTCGTGTCCACGCTGATTTCCCCTGAGGGAGACCCGGATGCACCAGACATCCCGACTCCTCGATCGTACGCTGAGGCGATCAAGGGTCCCTACTCCTCTCAGTGGCAGTCAGCCATGGACGCAGAGATGGCTTCCTGGAAGTCCACAGGCACCTACATCGACAAGGTTCCCCCACCTGGGGCAAACATCGTCAGTGGCATGTGGATTTTCAGGGTGAAGCGGCCGCCGGGTTCTCCACCTGTCTTCAAGGCGCGTTACGTGGCTCGAGGCTTCAGTCAGCGGCAGGGAGTTGACTACTTTAAGACCTTCTCTCCCACCCCGAAGATGACCACTCTTCGGGTGCTGCTGCACATAGCCGCTCAGCGCGACTACGAGCTTCACTCTCTTGACTTCACCACAACTTTCCTGCACGGCAGCCTGCACGAGGAGATCTGGCTGCGCCGCCCACCTGGCTTCACTGGGTCGTTTCCTCCTGGTACCCAGTGGAGCCTCCGGCGGCCAGTCTACGGTCTCCGCCAGGCGCCCCGTGAGTGGCACGACACACTGAGGTTTACACTTGCGGCTCTTGGGTTTGCTCGTTCTATTGCCGACCCGTCGCTGTTTCTACGCACCGACACCTCTTTGCCGCCGTTCTACATCCTCGTGTACGTCGACGACTTGGTCTTTGCCACCGCTGACACTGCTGGACTCGCCCACGTGAAGTCGTCGGGAATAGTGGGGTAGCACATATGGGGTACAACACATTTCTAGGTTTGTACTTGTACCCAACTTTCCCTTAGTCATTCCCATTCCTCGTTTCTCATCAAGACGGAGTCCTTGGGCTGATACACGCTGTTCAGGTGGCGCCTAGCGTGGAGGGCTGGGGCAGCCGATGTCTTGTATGAACGAATGTTCAGCTACTCCGCCGGCGACATGTTATGCATAAGAATCCCGTACACCATCAAGGACTCGTTATAGTAGCAAGTCCTAGCGTCGTCGGTGTCCTCAGCAAGTCCCGAGTAGCTCCCGTCGAAATAATGATAAATCTACACGTTTTGGAGCAGTAGCTCCAACTCGAAGCTCCAGGTGTTAAAGTCTCTGCCGTCAAAGCACACACTTGTCTTTATTTTTTTTATGCTCAAAAACCTTGATTGCGCAGAGAGGATTGCTTCATCGCTGGGACAGGGAGTCTTGGGGGTTGAGCCATTCGTATCTAGGGAGAAGCCTCGCAGGGCGGAGTTTTGGCCGTTTGGCGCTGGTTGAGTGGATTGGGAAGAGGTTCCCACGTCGCCATTCCGCAATGTTTGGAGTCCTTGCTCCAGGCTCGTGAGTCGCTGAAGCAGTTGTGCGAGGACGGCGGAAGGGATCGTCGTCGTTTCCTCGGTTGTCGAAGACGGGTTGGGCTGTGCTTCAGCCGTCAGATTCGTATGACCACCAGATCCTCCGGCCATTCTCACACGCGAGCGTGTGCTGGACGCCGCTTTCCGAATGTCGTAATTTTCGAGAGTGGCAGTGCGAAGGATTCCCGAGCCGCTCTCATACCATGCTGCGATCTGAAGTTGATCGTGGCCTAGGATCTACTCAGGAAGGTTCGCGCGCAGAGAAGTGATACTGGTGGGCCCTTGACCTCATTAGCAGAGTGAATGTAAAATGTTTTGAGATGATTTAAAACATGCAAATACAACAAATATAAATACGAGTATAGGGGAGATGAAACGATCTAGCTAGCCATGTACTCCAAGGGGTACATTCCCTTATTCAAATACATTCCCAACCGTGAGGCGCGAATAGTTACGAAACTATTCCCGCCAAAAACCATCCTCCCTACAGCGGCCTGATGCTGTCTGCTCCGACGGTCCAGATGCGTCCCAACTGTATGACGCTTCGATTCGTTTCCAACCGTCTGACCCTTCTCGCTCATTCGCGATAGTGCGTGCTTCTCTTTGTTGCGGTGAGGAGTGCATAATAACATTCAAATATAACTATTTGTAAAAACAAGGCCAGTTCACATGTAGGATTATATATAAAGGTAAACAAGCAAGTGCAAGTATAGATCGATCACAGTACAAGCAAGGTCAAGAAGTGAGCTAGTGAGGCCAAGTAGGCACAAGACCTAGCATCGTACAAAAGCGCTGATGATCACAAGGCTGAAGTGCCTTCGTAAATATATCAACAGTGTTGGCCCGACTGGCCACGTAAGGAAGGCGCAGTTGACCACGCTGCTGCAGCTCACGAGCAAGGAAGTAGCGAATAGTAATGTGCTTTATTCTGTGCTCCAGTCTATGCTCCCGACACAAGGCCAGCATGGCCTTGTTGTCTACATACAAAACTAGAGGAGAACGAGGCGGCTCTCCAAGGTCAGTCAGCAGGAAGGTGAGCCACCGAAACTCCTGTGAAGCCATGGCCCCCGTGTAGATCTCAGCCTCACAGCTGGAGCCGAGAACAGAAGACGAAGGGGTAGACCGACACGAAACAGAGCCAGAACCAAGGTTGAAGGTGTAACCCTGTGACGACCGCTGCGTAGCCTGGTTGTCAGCCCAAGAAGCGTCTGGGTGACCAGTGAGGACCACTGGACTCCGCCCTCCAAGCACGAGCCCCATGCGCGACGTATTGCACAAGTAACGCAACACCCTCTTCACTGCAGCCATGTGCTCTGGTCGGTGTCTCCCAGGAGCAACATAGCGTGCCAAGATGCTAAGAGGGTATGCTAGGTCAGGTCGTGTACAGGTCATCAGGTACATGAGGCAGCCAACAAGCTCTGGGTGCGGGCCACTCGGCTCTACGGACTCATCCGAAGGCAGAGCTGAGAGCGAGTGGCGAGTAGACAGAGGAGTGGCCTGAGCCGAGGAGTACGTGAAGTCGAAGCCCTGAAGGACCTGCTGCACCATGTGTGACTAAGTCAGGGTAATTGTGCGCCGTGCTCTGTCCCGGGTGATCTGCAAGCCAAGGTAGCTGCGCAGTTCAACCAGGTCTGTGTACGTGTGTCTCTTCTGCAGCTCGGACTTCACGTGGGTGAGTCCAGCAGTGTCAGTAGTAGGAAAGACTAAGTCGTCGACGTACACGAGGATGTAGAACGGCAGCAAAGAAGTGTCCGTGCGTAGAAACAGCGACGGGTCGGCAGTAGCAGGAGCAGACCCAAGAGCCGCAAGTGTAGTCCTCAGTGTGTCGTGCCACTCACCGGGCGCCTGGCAGAGACCATAGACTGGCTGCCGGAGGCTCCTATGGGTACCAGGAGG